GTTCGCCATAGAGTTGCGCCAGCTCGTGGTTCATCCTTCGCCTCCATACACCGTTCTCACATACCCCGCCAAAGATGATCCTAAGCACTCGTCGTTCGAAAACACCCAGTGCTTGCAGGTCCTCCTCGAGCATCGTCCACGTCTCGTTCCCGTAGAGAACTACCGGTCTTATCAGCGTTTTGTACATGGTACATTTAGTACGGAGGTGAATTTTACCCGACCTCAGGTCTTGTGGAGTCCGTAGTAAGCACGCCTTCTGGCAATAATACGCCAACGAATTTCTCTGCTGCAGTTGTTATCCGACGTCACCAATGATCCGAGGTACACAAATTCATCGACCACCTCGAACTCATCCCTAACCCGCATGGTTCCTCCAGCTAACAGATTCGACGTATTCACCTTTAATCCAACATTCTCTGCTTCACGTTTCAGCCTGGTGTACTGCTCCGACACGGCCTGAAACGTTCTTCCGACAATGTCCACGTCGTCAGCGAAGCGTATGAACTGGCTGGACTTATTGAAGATCGTGCCCCGCATGTTAAAGCCCGCACGTTTCATAACACCTTCTAGCGCAATGTTTAAATGGAGGCAGGAAAAGCTATCGCCTTGTCGAAGTCCTTTGCGAGTTTCAAATGAGTCTGATAACGCACCAGATATCTTCACGCAGCACTGTACACCATCCATTGTGGCCCTGATCAGTCTGGTCAGCTTCCCGGGAAAACCGTTCTCGTCCATAATCTTCCATAGCTCTTCACGGTCAATAGTATCGTAGGCGGCCTTGAAATCGATGAATAGGTGGTGCGTAGGGACTTGATATTCACGACACTTTTGGAGAATTTGCCGCAACGTAAAGATTTGGTCCGTTGTCCGGCTTGATAACTTCCCACAAATCTGCTTGCTAGCGGCGATAAACAGCGAAAGATGATCTGGGAAAGCACTTTGTAGGCCGCGTTAGGAATAGTGACCGCTCGATAGTTCTCACATTCTAGTGTTTTAAATACTGGGCATATTACTCCCTCTTTCCACTCCTCCGGTAGCTGTTCTGTATCCCAGATCCTGACTCGGTCGGTGCAGACAAGTGGCCAACTTATCCGGGCCCATTTTGTTAAGTTCCGCACCGATACCATCTTTCCCAGCTGCTTTGTTGTTCTTAAGCTGCCGGATAGCATCCTTAACTTCACCTATCGTGGGAGCTGACATGTCCCCCTCATCCGGTGTACCGACGAAGCCATTCCTCCTGCCGCCTTGATCCTCCGCCTCTGCGCCGTTCAGATGTTCATCGTAGTGCTGCTTCCACCTTTCAATCACCTCACGTTCGTCACCTTATCCTGACACATTTCGGCTCGCGGCACAAAGCCTTGGCGGGATGCGTTGAGTTTCTTGTAGAACTTGCGTGTTTCTTGATAACGATACAGCTGCTCCATTTCTTCGCACTCCAGCTCTTCCAGGCGGCGCTTCTTATCCCGGAAAAGATGGGTTTGCTGTCTTCGCTTCTGTTTATATCGCTCCACATTATGACGGGTTCCTTGCTGCAGCATCGCCGCCCGCGCTGCGTTCTTCTCGTCCAAAACCGGCTGACACTCTTCGTCGAACCAATCGTTCCGTCGATTCCGCTCCACGAACCCAACTAATGGCTGCTTTCACGTTGCTTCAGCAGTCCTCAAGAGGGACTTCGGTGAGCTCTTCCTCATCCGGCAACGCTGCGTCGAGGCATTGCACGTACTCAGTTGCGACTTCGGGTAGCTTCAGTCGCTCCAGATTGTACCGTGGCGGGCATCGGTACCGAATGTTGTTGGCAACGGAAAGTTTTTGGCGCACCTTGACCATTAGAAGGTAGTGGTCCGAATCGATATTTGCGCCGCGATAGGTCCTGACGTCGATAATGTCCGAGAAGTGCCTTCCGTCGATCAAAACGTGATCGATTTGCGATTCTGTTTGCTGCGGTGAACTCCAGGTATACCGATATGGGAGGCTATGCTGGAAGTAGCTACTACGGATGGCCATGTTCTTAGAGGCGGCGAAATCGATGAGTCTAAGGCTTGGGCAGCTGTCATATTCCCGTTCCAGCTGCGCGTAAAAAGCGACTTTATCGTCATCGTCACTTGCTAAATGAGGGCTGTTCACGTTGATTTTGCTGACATTGAAGAAACGGCCTTTGATCCTCAACCTGCACATTCTGCTATGGATTGGCCACCACCCAATCACGCGCATCTGTAGGTGGTATAACCATCCCTATACGAATGTACCGACGATCCCTTCCAGCAAACCTCCTGCAGCGCTGCGATGTTGAACTTGCGGACCCTCAATAAATCGGAAAGAATGCGGGTACTTCCCAAAAAATTGAGAGACTTGCAGTTCCATGTTCCGAGTTTCCAATCGTTAGTCCGTTTCCGTTGCTTAGGTCTATGCCGATTGTTCCGGTCCGTATTTACATTGCTTGCTTCCGCATTTTTTTTTTACGGCTGGCCTGTAGGGCCTGCAGCAACCCCCGTGCATAGCACTGTTTAGAGTCCCACGCTGGCACCAGGACGTTCATCAGCCGTTCCTAACATGGAGAACAGACGCCGTTTTGAGCCGCACCTCCATGGTGAACAGACGCTCGAAGACTGCTCTCTCCGGAGAGAGGAGTCCCCCCCTTCCCTGTCAGCATACGACAAAGGTCCCACCGGGGTTGGTTACCCGATCTTCCCTATGGTTACTCGTACCCCAGCCGGCACTGCGGGGAGGTAGGGATAGGAGTTACTGGACAAGAGGCTAAGCACCGCTAGTGGGGTCTATTTTATACCTGCAGATACGCGAAGTATTAATGGTACGCATTGTCCAGCCGTTTACCAACCAACAATCAACGGTGCGATTTACACGGTGCCTTAAGAAGCGTCTCTTGCCATTCATAAGGACGCACAAAGGATCAACTCTGTTTTGGCCTGATCTAGCATCCTGTCACTACACTAGAAACGTGTTGGAGTAGTACCGAGCCAACGGAGTCCATTTTGTGCCAAGAGATATTGTAGCAACTGAAACTCTTTCAAGCGATCCAATACACGGTTGTTGTTGTTGGAATATGCTTTAGCTGTAAGTGTTTTATTATAAGTATACATGTTTAGAATATATATAATATTACCTACAAATTTTCAGTATCTTCACTTTAACAACGAGATTCTTCCCTTTAGGTGGTTTTTAAATTTTAGGTTACGAAACTAGGATAGTAAATTTTGCGTGTTAGATGTAAGCTTTAGCATATAATTTCACATTTTATATTTCAAGATTTACTTACTTGTAGTAACTGTAAATACTAATTTTAATTTGTATATACTAATTAACTAGGTTTATCTAGACTTTAATAGCGCTTTCAATGAATGCACGCGGGGTGTTATCACGGCACTATCACTCTTATCAATAATAAACAACACGCTCATCTGTCTGTCGGTGTCAGTTGGCACTCGCTGTCCCAGTGTACCGAGCACGGCGCCGTCGACGTCTTCATCGCGGGGAGGTTCTCGTCGCCACAGATATGAACCCACCAAATGCACCGGAACTTCGCCCAATTGAAAAATTCTGGGCAATTATGAAGACGGAACTTCGCAAACATCCCAAAATTATTAAAACAGAGCTGGAGTTAAAGAAAATTTGGGTAAAAACATCAAAAACACTGGGAAAATCGGTTGTACAAAATTTGAAGGGTGGAGTGAAAAGGAAGGTGCGGGCATTCGGGATGGTAGATGAAATTGAATAAAACAAATTTTGTAAATCATATCTCAATAGTTTTGCATGCCTTGAAAATTTCAAGAAAATTCGATAATCGGTTTAATTTTAGTGAGAAAATATGTGTGTGCCATTTTTATCGAATACACCCTTTAATAGTGTTACTCAACTAGATATTCATTATTTTGGAGATGCCATATTGGTGTTCCTATCATTTTACCCTAACCGTTTCGCACATTTCCGATCCACGTGTGATCCCAATGGTTGTCCCGATTTTTCCACTTCAACCATCTCCTTCCTGTTGTCAATCACGTTGCAACCGGGTGTCTATGCCCTCATATCGAAGAAACACATCGCACTTGGACACCTTCCCCAATTTAAACCCGAACTGAAACGTGCGGCACTTCCTGAACCTGAAAGCTGTCAACTGTCAAAAAACCTGCTGCGTCATACCGCACCGCCCACCCTTCCGCGTCCAAAGTGGGTATGCAAATTATATGTGCGCACACACATCAAACATGCCGATCGATTCGCAGTGCACTTTTCCAACCTAACCCAACATATTCCAGTCTATGCACCACGGCACAGGACGCGTTTATTGCCATGCCGAGCGGATCCCGCTGTGGCATGCGACATATTGTTTAATAATAGGAATATTGGAACCAGATCCGCCGCGCCGGTTTTTACCCGGTTGCCGAATTCCGTTTGGCATGCAGTTTTTTTTTTTTCTGTTTTGCATTCGCAGAGTTTCGGTATTTTTCCAGGCCAGGTCGTCGTCGGCTCAAGCGGTCTTTGAACGTGGCTCGAATTTCAAACCGCTGTCGTCGTCGCCGTCGCCGTCGTCGTCGTCGTCTGGTTGGCACTGGCTTTCATCAAATCATGCATTATATTTCAATTTGTTTCGGCTTTGTTCTTACCTCGGTTGCTGCACTTCCCTCGCCGGCCGACCATCGCTTCCAAACAAGCAAGTACTTATCTACAAACCCCGAAAAAAAGGGGAGTTAATCGAAAAAGGGGTTGAATTTTGGCGTTCGCATGGCAGAACAGCTGCACCGTGGTCGTTGGTAGAATGTGCTGTGTGCACTCGGCTCCATACAGATTTGCGATGCACATTATGCGCCTGATTAAATTTTCGACGGTCGCATTGTGTGAACAAACACGCATTGGCACACTGCATAAATCATGGGTCTAGGAGGGGGGAGGAAATCGGGGTAGCCTGGCAGGGGCGTAGCGGGTAGATGATCCAGTTACGACGCTAATCGTTAACCGAGATTCCTTTTCCCTTGTTCTTGTTCCAGGACGGCGGTCGGGGGCATCTGGAGGGTCTGGCGTCCGTCTATTGCGAGATGCTGATGGCTCCCTTTGGCGAAGTGCTGACGGCCCTGGAGGACGCCCGGTTGCGAGCCTGGTCCGAGCGGAGTCCCCACAGTTCTTCCGGTGGAAGTGGAGTGCATCGGGCTGGCCATCGGGGGAACTCATGCCACGGTGGTCTTCCCAACAGCCACAGCCAGCCGATCTACGTGCCCGGAAAGTACTCGGTAAGTGTTAGTTAGAAAGCCAACCCCAGCCAAGCAAGCAAGCATCTGTTCGGCACGGAATGAAAAGCAACTGATTATATGCTTCGTTAGGATGAAGAAAAAAGTAAACATTCAAACGAAATGACTTCAATTATATTACGAGAATTTCGGTGCTCGCAGCAGCACGGGGGGAGGTCCTCGCTTGGGAACTGTCTCTCAATCTGATGGTGAGCTGAAAATTAGTCGGTGCGCGGTTTTCGATTTTCTGCGAAAAGAATTAATTTCCCTCGGTGGTCTTCAAGACTCTTCCCAACCTTGGGCTCCGACGGGTTTTAAAAGAAAAGAAAAAAAAAACAGCAAGAGATAAAAGAAATACATTCGTTTGAGCATTTTTATTTGCTCGCTGCTGGTTGCTGGCTTGGTAGGTTGGCTTCGAATTGAGGTTGAGAATGGCGGAAAGAAATGAGCCAGAAAAAAACAGCCCCCGGGATGTTGTGTGACCGAATTGGAGCCGCTTTTTCGGGATGTGAATAAAAAGCTTTTTATTTTCGGTGTTTGTGTATGTTTCCCGAGGGAAGCAGGAGATGACCATTTTATTAGCCTTACCGTCTGTCCTGATTTTATGAAGTTCCCCGTTCATTCGCTTATTTTTGTTCTGGTACGCTAATGGCAATGGAAGTCAGTCGGTTCGTTACCATTTGGACTCAATTTTCGAGCAGTTTTACATTCCAAGCTCTTGATTTTTTTTGTATTTAGTTTGTATATTTGAAAAGCTCAATCACGTTAGCTTTACGGAGGCGATTATTTATTATTGTAACATTATAAATTTTGCTTCAATATGCATCTGGGATGGGGTCGATTATCCACAGTTAACTCGAGGTGAATTTTTTTAGGCAAGGATCAAGCTGTTGTTTATTGAAGGAAATTATTTCAAGGTAGGGTTAATGTTCCTAATCTCAACAGGAAAGCATTTTTTGCCAATTTTTCACTAGCAACCAGAAATATCCATTTGTATTACCCAGATTGTTCTAAGAAAAATTGTAGAACTAGAACTATATCTCAATATTCTCTCTATATCGATCTTTCTGTATGTTGATCGTGCCTAAGAAATATTCGGGAACAAATTACTCTTCATATGTCGATGAAAAAATCTAGTTCACTAGTTTTCCTATGTTTGACATAAACGATCGAGTTTTTCTTTGGATACGGGATAAACAAATAAACGTTTTGAACCCGAAGTGCTTCTAGAATTGTTCTGGTAGTAATAAATTATGTTTCTGAATGTCGATATGTCCCTATCTCGATGTTCTCTTCACTATCGAGAAATGGAAAGTTGACTGTATAATGTATAAGACGGATTTCACGCCAACTCATCCAGTGGTTGGCAGCACCCTCTCAGAACCTTATGGAACTTTGTGGGTGTGGAGACTTAGCAATTTTAAGCAACTTTGCGTACTTATTTTTTTCAAAATTTATCTCGCCTAACATTTGATAAGGGTCAAAGTTTTTTGTCGATTTTTTTTTCAAATCGATATAACTTAAAAATGACAAGCCCTACAAAAAAGTGATGTATGGCGAACTTTTAGCAAATAATCTGAAATTTTATAAAAAAATTTAAATAAAATAAAAAATCGGTTTCTACACTCTAAAAAAATATATTTAAAAATTAAAAGTCATTTTCCCAAAAATGGTACCCCTCAGATTTGCTTGATATTTTTTCTCATGAAAGGCAATATAATTACCTAACTTTTCTTCATACATCGCAAAGTGGGCGCTTTTAAGGAAAAAAAGTTGTTCGAACAACAACTTTTTCATGTTAATTTTTTTTAGCGTGTTTCACTCAAAGTCGAATAGTAATACGCGCACAACCTTATTAAAATTCGATTAAACTTTATGGGTATACTTTTCGATAATCTGGGTGAAATCTAGCCTAACATTTGAAAAGGGTACAGAGAAGTTACCTGCAAATCGTCCAATAAGAGTTCAGAACAAAACGTTCTAATGAGGAACAGCCATCTCAGCATGGTTTGCACTTTCCTGTGATGGATTGTATTATAATATATGCATACACTCTATCCAACTTCTATAAAACCACCCTCAAATTGTTCCAAATCAACAGGTAAACTAAGTAAAAATCACTTAGTATGTTTTATTCATGAAAAGATTTCAATTCATGTATTTGTGATTAATTTAATTAGAAAAATAATCATTCATTTATTTGTATGTATTAGGTGTGTCCATTAGTAAGCAATATGCATATATGTTTATACCTCATCGCTCAAGTGAATCCATATAATAGCGCAGGTAACTTAACGATTATTTAAGGCATGCCTTAAATAATCGTTAAGTTACCTGCTATATAGCAGGTAGTCACATGAGAGATATAAGGTATAAACTTAAAGCACCGCAGTCTGTTTCTACCGACATAATCTAATATTTAAGTTTGGTGATATCACAACAATGCTCATAGTTGCTGTAGTGCATAGTTGTTGAAAGTGTAGTGCTGCATAGTTGTTGAAACGAAAAAGTGTTGGAAATGGAAAAATCTGCTGAATTGATTATTAAAAGGGTGCAATGTAGTGCCAACATAAACAATCCCAATTGCAGCCGCAATAATTTACGTAATTTATCATCAAGTCTCATAGAGAAAATACATTCATGGGGCTTTGATCATCAATTGGATGTAACAATGCGTATTTGTGAATCGTGTCGTGGAATTTTAGTGCACAATAGGACACCTCTCCCGAAAAAGAGGCGATCGGATGGAAAAGAATCAAGCCATGCTCGGAAGTTTGAAGAGCCGCAACCATCAACAAGTCATCAGCAATCAGAACATCAGGAATTTGATGATACACTAGGTAAATAATAATAACTTTAACTGTTTCAACTGTGTGGTTTAAGGATTGTACATCGAAGATACAACTTCATTTTCAACATTTTTTTAGAGCACGAGCTGGATGAACCGCTTATTTGGGATGGATTCAGACGATGTCAACAAATCAAATGATTTTGACGAAATGATCATGCAGTTAAAGGAGAAATTTAATTTGCCTTCTACGAGTACAAATGACAAATTAAAAGTGTTATCAGTGCTCCCTAAATCATGGTCAGTGAATCAAATAGTTAATGAGTTTAATGCACCCCATCATACAGTGAAACAGATGAAAAGGCTAGTCAGAGAACAAGGTATTCTTTGTAGTAAGAAAGCAAGAAGTGGTCATGGATTTAATGATACTGAAAAACAAATTGTTTTAAATTTCTTTGACAGTGATGATATTAGTAGGCCTATGCCAGGAAGTAATGATTATGTTTCTGAATATCGAAATGGATATAAAGAGCATGTTCAGAAACGTTTATTGATGATGTCTCTTAAAGAGGCTTTTATGATTTTTGAAGAGAAATACAAAAGTGTTAAAATCGGATTTACTTCGTTCACTCAGCTCCGACCAAAGCATTGCATACTGTTGGATAGTACAGGTACACATAATGTATGTGTCTGTACTATACATGAAAATGTTAAATTGATTATTAATAGTGTAAAATTTGATTCATATAAAGAAATTGCAGACAAAATACTTTGCAGTAGTCCTATTAGAACCATAGATTGTTTTTATCGTACATGTGAAGAATGCATTTCCACAGATAGTATCGTGAGGGAACTTACATCAGTATTAGAAGCAGATGATATGGAAGAAGTTTTATTTCAACAGTGGTTGACTACCGACCGTTGTAATTTGGAAACTATTATTAAACCTGCAGTTGAGTTTGTTCAATATTTGACGGAAAAAGTTGAAAAGCTCATAACCCATGATTTTATTCATAAAGAGCAATCATCTTACCTAAGTAATAAAAAAAATTCTCTTCAAAACGGTGAAATTTTAGTGATTTGCGACTTTTCTGAAAATTATTCATTTATTATTCAAAACTCAGCACAGGGGTATCATTGGAACAATAATCAAGCTACGATACATCCTTTCGAAATTTACTACATAAAAGAAAACAAGTTGGAAAATTTAAGCTTTATTATTATTTCAGAAGTATTGACCCATGATACAATAGCAGTTCAATTATTTATATCAAAATTGTTAGATTTCATTAAACAATCTATTAGTTTCACAAAAATTACTTTCATGTCAGATGGAGCAGCGGCTCATTACAAAAATAAAAAGAATTTTGCCAGTTTGTGCAACTTCAAGTCCAAGTATGGATTGGAAGCAGAATGGCACTTCTTCGCAACGTCTCATGGGAAAGGCCCATGTGACGCAATTGGAGGAACTCTCAAACGAATGGCAAAGAGAGCAAGTCTTGCTCGAGATTATGGAAACACAATCACAACTCCACAAGAACTGTATAACTGGGCAGTTAAACAAACAGATACAAGCATAACAAAATTGAACTTCTGCTTCATATCAAATGATCAATACACAAAGATGTCCGATGAACTCAAGGAGCTGTTCAGTCATGTAAAAACTATACCTGGTACACAAAAATTTCATTGTTTTGTACCTATTTCTCAAAACATAATTTCTACTAAGCGATTTTCACATTCAAAGGAAACTCCGAAAAATTTCACTCTGTTTCCGATAGACTAATAATCAATGAAAAACTCAAATTATGTATGGAGAATTATAGGAAAATAAATTATGCACTAAACAAAAACACTAGAGTTTTCATTTATTAAAACACCATTCGAAATGCAGGAAAATCCTCTGTATTAGGCCCTTTCAAATGTTAGGCTAGATTTTTGTTTTAAGCACGCCCAGATTATCAAAAGGTCAAAATCTTTATGCTCATTAAGTTTCAACGGATTTTAATAAGGTTGTGCGCGTATTACTATTCGACTTTGAGTGAAACACGCTAAAAAAAATTAACATGAAAAAGTTGTTGTTCGAACAACTTTTTTTCCTTAAAAGCGCCCACTTTGCGATGTATGAAGAAAAGTTAGGTAATTATATTGCCTTTCATGAGAAAAAATATCAAGCAAATCTGAGGGGTACCATTTTTGGGAAAATGACTTTTAA